AATTCTTCCCAAGTCTTTCCCTCTTCCAGCTTTGTGGGCAGCACCTGGAAATCAGATCTCCAGGATTAAACCAGGAATTCTTCCCAAGTCTTTCCCTCTTCCAGCTTTGTGTGCAGCACCTGGAATTTGAATCTTCAGGATTAAACCCAGAATTCTTCCCAAGTCTTTCCCTCTTCCAGATTTGTGGGCAGCACCTGGAATTTGAATCTTCAGTATTAAACCCAGAATTCTTCCCAAGTCTTTCCCTCTTCCAGCTTTGTGGGCAGCACTGGAACTTGGATCTCCAGGATTAAACCAGGATTTCTTCCCAAGTCTTTCCCCCTTCCAGCACCTGGAATTTGGGTCTTGGCAGAGTTGGCTGCTGGGGATTCTCCTGAAACTTTTGATCTGAGCTTTGAGTGGCAGTTTGAGGCTCCAGCAGTGGGGGAGGAGCTCCTGGAGGAACGCTGAGTATTCCTGGCATGGAGCAGAACCTTGGAGCCCTCAGGTTTGGGTGGAGCTCCGAAATTCCCAAACCACTGGGAATTCATCCCATTTTCAGTGCCTTGGCACCAGGACCTTCACATAGCAGAGCAGACAGTCTGTGGGTGTCTGTCATGCCTAAAAAAGGGGGGAAAATGGGGAAATGCTGGATTTGGGAGTGGTTCCAGGTGGGAAGTTGTGGGGAGCAGCCTCTGGTGGTGGCAGCACAGCCACGTGCTTGTCCCTCACCTGGTGTCCCTGGGCTGCTCCAGAGCTTCAGCATTCCTGGTTGTCCCATTCCCACCACCTGCATCTCCTCAGCTGGCCTTCACTGGGAATCCCTGGATTTCTCATTTCCTGGGATTTAGGAGCTTTTTCCCCTTCCACACTGAGGGTGACAGGGCTGTCACTGTCAGTGGCCTCAGCCCCTGTGGTTCCCACAGTTCTGCTCCTCCACCCTCCTCCTTTGGTGTCCCAGGACTGGGGTATCCCAAATGTGTTCCTAATGTTGGTGTGGCTCAGGAGATCCATGGGGAGCTGCCCTGGGAATTCTGGGCCGTGCCATGGTGTCCCCAACAATCACTGTCCCCATGTGTGTCCCTCAGGGATTGTCACCACAGCCACAGAGGACACAGATGTGTCCCTCATCCCACCTGCTCCCAGCTGGGAGAGTTCATCCTCTTGTAAATCCTGGATTGATCTTGGTTTGAATCTTCATGGGAATTCCAGGCAGGATTTTATCCATCCAGGTGTCTCAGTGACCAATTCCTGATGAATTGGGAACAGAAGAGACTCAGGGGCTGATCCTGAGGGGTGGGA